TCGTTTCCTTCCAATACTGCCTTCAACAATGGCTGCCAAGCTGTAAATATCAAAGGAAACTTAAAGAGTAAACACTTCAGAAGCATATACAAGCCACTCTTACGTCTTAATGTGTTTACTGGCATATAGAAATGTTAATCTTAACATTTTCAGTTCCATGCCTAATATTTACCAGTGATTTTACTGAGTTCTGGCGATTATCCCGTTTGTCGGCATCGAAGTCAGGGTCACGCACTAGAAGTTTCAGCACTTGCGTGTGACCCTTTTCAGCGGCCACGTGAGCTGGAGTCTGTCCCTCCTTGTTGGTAACATTGGGACTGATCAATTTCAGCAGAAACATCACCACATCCGCTTGGTTGTGAGACGCTGCAGCATGAAGGAGTGTGCAGCTGGTCTTGCTTCTCCTCACAGCTGCCCCCGTATATTGAATCAGTTCCTGCACTCTTGCCAAGTCTCCATTTTCCACTGCCCTGAAGAGCTCAGCCTAAAAAGTAATGATTTGTTAAACTTTCATAGATATTGTGAATCCTTAAACATAAAAGGTATATGATCAAACATTTAATATGAGGACATCCACACCTACTGGAGGCATGTTTACTTTACCTTTAACCTGAAGATGTGAAATGGCGAATGGTCAGCGATGCGTTCATTTGTTGTACTTCTGGAATGAACGCAGCTTTTGGATGCAGTGTTTATTCCCTTCAACTTCTTGACATTAACCTTCGACAACTTCGTCTTCACTGGAGATTTAAAATTTCTAATAAGTAGTTTTGATGGCACAGAAGCAGAACACGTTTTCCAAGGACAATCATTTTTTCCACAAATTGAACATTTGTTATCCCTATCTAAATAGTTCTTTTCTTGGGTCTGAGAACTCACTGTTGCTGATGACAGACCTCTGGAATCTATTTTAGGCTTTTCATTTTCAGAATCCGCAGAGGGTCCAGCATTAAGCCCATAAGACTGAGTCGATGGAGTTTGAGATATTTTTTCCGATTCCTTAGTTTTAACAACGGATTTTTCGCAGGTCACTTTGGCCTCAGGTATAACTAGCTCTCGTTCTGCCTCTTGATCTCCAACAGGTGAGAGCCCGGATTTTACTTTGGACTCTGCCATAGTTGCTTCCGATCCAGTCCCAAGTTGTATGTCTTGTGTTACTAGTGTCATTATAGTTGGTAAAGTAGTGCTTTCCTTTTCCTGATCTGCTGCACCAGTTTCCTGCAGAGAGACCTTTCCCTTTCTTTAATGGATCTCCTAATTCTCCTTCAACTGATGAGAATTCATTCTCTCTCTCCACAGGAGAATCGTCCAGGACGCTAGATGTTTTGTCAGCCATATTCCTGGAGGTGTCTCTTGTGAAGGACTACCTGTCAAGGTGACAGTCACTTAAAGTTGGAAGTTTCTTGGTCTGTACCAAATTGGTCTTATTCGATCTATTCTGCAAAAGAGAAAATAAATATCCTTATATATAAAATGTAGTCAGTTGGAGCAAATACAGAACATTAGCAGACTTTATTCTGAGGTGTGTTTGTTTACAAATGTATTATATTATTAATTTAAACCAATACTATGAAAATGTCAACAATAGGGTTATTCTTATTAGAACTGGGAAAACATATCTTTAAGAAACTGTAGTTTCGTATATACATCGTCACTTTTAGCTATGATAAATTATTTCCCCTTGCCTCAGTGTCACTCCTGATATTCTTAATAAACCACAAACCAGTTTTTCACAATAAACTGCAATAAATTTCTTCACTAAAACGTAGCAGTATGCCTTCAGTTGTATTCTGTTGAGAGATGATCACGTTGCAAGCACTGAGCAAGCACTGGCTGAAATCTCGCCGCGTCCGCCATTTATACAGCTCAGACGCGAGCCAAGTCTGGACGTGATATTGGAGTTGCCATGCATTGCATTCAAACTATTTTCAAGAATTCATTTTAGAGCAGTGAAATGTCTTTCGAAATGTGAGTGAAGTGTCTATGCATATTTCTATCCGTTATACTAGAAAACTCACAATGAATTCTGGAAGCAACATTCCTTCGTTACTGATTATTTAGTTTTTTTTCTTTAACATATTTTTAATTATTTACATTATATGTTATCTCTCGTGCTGAGATGCGCGCATATGTTTCCTTACAATTTCCACTTTATTTTATGTCTGTGATGCTGTGTTTTCCATATGTGTGCTACATCTACTACTCTTGGATTAATCGAATTGCCAGCGACACGTGAAAACTCTTACAAGTCAAGACTTGGAATGTTACGTCACGGCTGCGTCACGAAAGAAGGTTCCAATACCATAGAAAATCTTTTTCTTTTTCTCTCTGATTTCTCTCTCTCTCTCTCTCTCTCTCTCTCTCTCTCTCTCTCTCTCTCTCTCTCTCTCTCTCTCTCTCTCTCTCTCTCTCTCTCTCTCTCTCTCTCTCTCTCTCTCTCTCTCTCTCTCTCTCTCTCTCTCTCTCTCTCTCTATCTCTGGTAATATTTTACTTTCTCTTAACTCTTTCTGCCAATTTAGAAAATAGAAAAATAAAAAAAAAATTCAGAATCATCCATAGATTTAATCTGTGTGCGTATATACATCTTTCTACTATATATATATATTATATATATATATATATATATATATATATATATATATATATATATAATATATACATACATATATGCGTAAGTGTGTACACACACACACACACACACACACCACACACACACACATATATATATATATATATATATATATATATATATATATATATATATATATATATATATATATATATATATATACATATATGTATATATATATGTATATATATATATATATATATATATATATATATATATATATATATATATATATATATGCACATGTATATATATATCGTCTAAAAGGTGAGAATGAGAGCAAAAGCATCAGAGCTCTCTAAGGTAAAAACAGAGATGGGAAAGGCAGTAGATGATACGGAAGGACTGGATAAATGAAATAAAGGAGGTGATAGAGGAGTATCAGGGAAAAAATGTTCCTATAGGAAAAGGAGAACATTTTGAAATGTGAAAATTATAAAGGAAAGTGATTCATGAACATGAATTTCGTTATCGAGTACTATTATGTGACCTTCAAATCTGCGATTGCTAGAATGCCTGCCTTAAACCTCATCCTTAAATTTGTATATTACGGGATCAAGACTGCTGAATGGAGTACTGGAAAATTGATACTTTTCAATATTCCTTGGCAGACGATCCGCTCTATGAATCATACGTTAACGACGATGAAATCCAAACGATGGCAGTCATAATACAATTGGCAGACGCTTTCCACGGTCCGGATGCCAACTAGTAAATAATCCCCATGGGTACGATAAGTCGCCCCAAACTTGCCAGATAGACAACTGTCTTCTGAATTCCCCTCACATTCCCTCTCTTTTCAAACCATCTGTATTCAAAGCACATTATCACCCGCCCATCTTTTTCCCCTAAACAATGGTCATGTAATTTGAAAAATCAATATCGGAGTGAGTGGGCGCAGGGTCTGTCAGGGAAAGATTATATTCCATTCCAGCTGCATCAAAATGTAGGCATCCGTTTGTTTTTGCTTCGATATAAATGACCTTCAATTGGTTAACTGAACATGCTTTATGTGACTCAGCTTTTGCCGTACCATCTGCCATTGCGTGACGTCATGATGACCTAACATTGCAAGTTTCAACTCGCGGAAGTTACCAGAGGTCGCTTAGAGACTTAATACTATTATTTCCTAGATTAGATTGAATAAGCATACACTTGCAAGTACTTATGCCTATATATTTGTTTGCTTATGCGTGTAAACATACATATATGTATATATGTACACGCATACAAACACGCACATATACACAAAAATTATAAACAAATATACTATTTGAGGAAGAGAAAATATATGCAAAAAGGCGAATCTTTTTGGCGGACGTTTTCTCACATTACTCTTTCTTGAGGGTCTTACTCTCGCAGTTTTAATTTTCCAAAATATCGTTACAAAGTACATTACTCTGAAATATGATGTTGATTTGGTTCTATAACGTGTCTTTGTTCTGAAGCAGCACCTTAGCGAGCGAAGACTAAGTAGATCATTTTTATCCATTCCTTCTGAACTCTTCTGAAGCTTTATAAAAGTGTATTATTATACTTCATTAAAAGTGTATTATTACTTCAAAAGTATATCATTACACTTCCAGAACCTTTTGGTTTTATGTTTCTTCCTGGACGGAAGACACCCGGCGAGTGAGCTACTTAAATTTGGACGAAAGTCTGAATTGTTGAAAGAAAATATACTAAAGTTTTTTCTGATGAAACTGATTTAATCATAATAGGAGAGACATTTAATCATAACAATTGGAGAGACTCATGCCCTGACCAGTTCTATAACATAGGTGACCCCCTCCCCGGTCATACCGTTGTAATGAATTCATTGCTAATATTTTCTTGGTGTCACGAATAATTCTGAAATCAGTAGATACATTGCCACATATAGGACGTATATAGAGCGTAAAGACAGTTTTTTTGTTTTTTTTTAGTTTATTTTATTTACCACCCTGGCTAACTGCACAGGCGTGGGCAAGCTGTGGTACATTTGATACATAGATCATAAAATTATTACGGTCTAAAATGTATCATTTAAAAGAAAAGAACAAAGACAGTATGCGTGATTACATATGTGTAGGTGTGTATTTACATACATATTCATATATTCATATACTTTTAGTTTAAAGATTCAACACGATCTCGGGCTCAAACTCTACGGACCTTGGATGTTACTTTCGTTTACAGGTATAGGAGTATAACGAAGACCCTACATGGACGTTCTGCTCCACCGTGGAAAATGTCGGACCTAAGTGTATTTTATACGACTGCCCCCCAAAAAGACAGCTGTACTTAAGCAGTATGCTTTAGCAATTATCACTGAGCACTTTAAAACTATGCCCAATGCGTATGAATGCTACACTGATGGATCCTTGCAGT